TTGGCTTTGATGTCGTGCTGCGTGTTATGCATCTCCAGGATGGAGGTGTTGTCCAGGAAGGAGTCCCTCAACACGAAGTACCGCTTGTGCCAGGCCTACCAGGGTGATGCAAGCATTTGTGAAATTTTAAAATCATATAGCAATTAATTTTATAAAAAATATTCTTATTAAAACTAATTGTATTTACATATTATTAAATCATATGTATGAATAATAGTGTTGAATTTATTTGTTATATTTTTATAAACTGTAAAGCAAACATCATATAAATACTAAAATTTTAATATAATATAAATATTAAAATTACATTTAAATTATTCTGGGTGAATGTAATGAGAGATCATATAGATCTATGTAATTATTTTGACATAAATACAGTACTAATTACGATAATAAAATCTGCATACAATGTATACTATACATGGTTTGATACTTTTAACTGATTTAGTTAAAAATATATTTTCTTATAAGAATTATATTTGCTTTTATTAAGACTGTATTTTATAAACTGTAAAATAATAATAATACAAAAACTAATGAATTAATATTAAATGACAGAGCTTTCAATTTTATATTAACATATTTTAAAAGTATTTTTATTGTGATAATAATATTTTTTTTTATTATAACTCAATTTCTAATGTATTTTATTTATATTAACCAGATCATTTTTGTACATTAATTGCACAATGATTAAGTTATATAATATTTATTATTAATAAGCAATTCAATTAAAAAGTCATATGATTTTGTGTCAATTAACATTTCAACCAAGCTGATAATTCAATTATTAAATGTTTAAAAGATTATTTCGCTGCTTTTGAAATAAAAGATCAAAACAACACTGAAAACAGTTTACTGAGCAATTAATAAATATTACAAAAACACAAAATCAAAATAAAGCGCTAAATAAAGTAATTTGTAGTCTAATTATCGGTCATCAGTCAGCAATGTGAAATATAAACACACAATCATTAGTTAAATGAACTTGAAATTTAATTAACATAAGTCACGAGAATATATGTGTGCAGTGCATTTAATTAGTAGCCAGTTACTAATTTTTCCATACATTTCTTAATATTAATCAGAAATAAATAATTCATTTTTAGTAATCATCTCATACTTGAGAATAAAAACAATATATTGACTCATATTCTGGTGACTTCTACACACAAAACCCACACAACTATTGGTCTGAAAATCACATTTAAGACTCAGATTTGATTTATTCATTAGCACTGTCTGTGTGTTCACTAACTGTGAGTACACTATAAGTCAATCACTATTTTATTTGTACCACAACTGCATTATATTTGCGTTTAATAAGCGGTGCACTCGTATGATAGCCGCCTACAAGTCTTACGAGTCTTAACCCAATCGCAAAAGTAATTAAATCAAAGTTTTTTGATCAACAATATTAACAACCCTTTCCCCTTCAGTTAAGTCAGTATGAGTGGACGGGGTGATAATGGGAACGTCCGAATGACCGGTTATCGATTGGGGGTAAATGATCGGGGTTATGATGATAACCACGCGAACCACACCATCGACAGTGTCTGCGAATTGGAAAAGCTATCGATTGGCACCGAAAGTGACACCAAAGTCGATGTCAAAGACCCGGACACCGAGACTACCGGTGCGAGCGCACCGCCGATGGACCACCAGATCCAGAGTAGGCGTTTATATGACCTCCCAAAACGACCTCCAGTACCACCACCTAAGCCTCCCGGTCTCGTAGTGAACCGGCCCTGCGCTTCTAAAACCCGGGTTGAGGTGGTTGAGCCCCCTAAAGGCCCGGCTCACTATTTTGCACCCAAACCCTTTGTGCCGAATTGGCATCAAATGTTTAAGCGTATTGAGAGCCCCCATAAAAAGTGGGGCTTTTCGCCAGACAAGGATCGGGTAACACTTGTCCCGCGAATCGCGGCATGGAAGTAGACTAGTATTGCATATCATTCCCCTACCCAACCACTATTGACGCTCATTTTTGGTCTAATAATTAACTATTGATTTGTGTAGTATTTATTATATAACGTAAATGTTTGTGATTTGTTTGCAGTAATCGTATGATAATTGGAAAATTAATATAATTATATTTAAACTTAAAATGATTGTCTTATTAATATTATTATAAATTATTTTTGTTGTGCAAATAATTATAAATTTCTGATATTTAATGAACTGAAATAAATGGATAATTACAAAAAATAACAAATACTTGTGCCTTAGTTGCATTTTGTTTATTCTAGTATATGAGCTGGTTGATTTAAAATTTAGAAATCAAATATTGTTTTATTTGATGAAATTAAATTCTTAATTGAATAGTTGTTTACGAGTAGTAACTCAAGTCGAGAGAGAGAGAGAGAGAGAGAGAATGATAGAGGAAAGGGAGGGACTGGGAGTCAAATAAGAGATGAGAGATTCTACTCATAAATATTTACAGTATTTAACGAATCGCTTGACTCGTGACTGACGACTGGTTTTATTTACATTTTTCTTATTTGATTTCAGGGCTTGTTTTTTGTGGCATCAAGGCAAAAAATAATGTCAATTTGAAAGACCATTACCAGGCTTAGTGTCCAAAATAGACAACATGTTTGTCTTAATTTGCTGTTTGTTTTCACAATACTAAACGTAAAATTATCGTAATTACGGTACAAACGTCTTATAAGACACGTAACACAATTACGTACATATTAACTTAATTTAAGTAAGGATATATTTCATCAGACTCAAATATTTTGAAATAAAAAAAATTATTTTTATCTGCTAATGGGTTTAAAAATTTAGCAAAATTAGTAAAACTGTAGGTTTACATTAAAAGTATTATATGTTTTTATAATACTGTATATGGTTTTTACTAAAATATTGTAATTGGTGAGCAAATAGGCCTTTTATATTATTTATAAGATAAAATGTTTTAAGTTTTATACAGTATAACAAATTAATTTTAGGTAATTATATTTGGTTTACTTATTAAATTGAAAACTCTACAGGCTATATTAAAAGGCTGTAAATTTGCATTTCCAAAAATATTGTATGTCATGAAAATATGTTTTAATTAATTAACGGCATCAAGTTTTAAATTTGTATTTTTATATTTGAAAGCCTTATTATCAGCAAATCAGTTAATTTGAACCAAAAACTTATTATTTTTATTTTAATAAGAATCAATACAAAAATCAATATATTAATCAATAATAATATAAGATTTATTTGTTATCAAGAATTAAATAAATATTTAATAATAACAATCACTGTTATTATGTAAGAGTTTTGTACACTGTTTTGATACGTGATTTACGATTTCAAGTACAGTATGTGTAATAAAAAAAATAGCAGAATATTCCCCAAGAATTGAGTATTTGATTGAGAAATACGCGATCAATAATAAATGCCAGTTATGTATTTTGCGAATCCAAATTTGTACCATTGAATAAAACATCAAGTTAAATCAAATGTTAAATTTGGTATTAAAACTGTTTGCAATGCTTTTAACGTTATTTTATTATAAATTTTAAGATATAAGCTATATGATTTATAGCAAAAGTGATCTATTTTTATAAAATAGTTATAAATTTTGAGAAAGAGAGAGAGAGAGAGAGAGAGAGAGAGAGACTCAATTTTAATAGTATAATATTGTGTAATAAAATACTTTATGATGAAATAATATTTGTTTGACATTTAAATTAATTTAAAACTGCTTAACATTTTCTTTTTACCATCAACTTTTATGACTGACCATTTAATTCATTTAATTAGCAATACACGTCACCATCAAAAATATACTACCTGCGTTCATACTCTACAAGTGTAATGTCACTTGCTAATATAATTTTAATTTCATATATTTTACTTTTATTTTCTAGCTCATTATTAAAATGAATGTCAAATGATATTATGTTACTTAATAGTTGTGAAAAGTTTGCTATAATTAAAATTATTTTTGTTTTAATTAAAATATCACATAATGAACGTGGTAAATTACTTGGACGTAAATTAATTATGTCAGACATTGCATAAATAGCTAGAAAACGTTACATTTGGCATCAAAGGTAATACATTAAATTATTATAATAGTTTATCTAGTATATTTATGAATCATACCCATTTTGTGATTACATTTAATTTCTATCTACTGATGCATTCATGCGATTTACTACAGAAATCAGTTAATTTCTATAACTTTTATGAATAGTCAATATATCGTGGGTGCGTTTGGGAAAGGGGGTCACTTTGGGATATACTCCATATAGTTATATACCAGAGGTGTCCAGACATTATTTATTGATGTTTTTTACAGGTAAACAATTTTAGAGTCAATCCTAATTAATGTTATATTATTTGACAATGATTTGCATTTTAATAGCATTAATGCCATGTTTGCAGAATATTCTGTGCATTGTGTTAATGCATGTATAATTGAATTAAATTCATTCCTATATAAAGTAGTCTGAGTTTATAAAACTTTATTTTTTTAATTATTTTTATCTGCTAATGGGTTTAAAAATTTAGCAAAATTAGTAAAACTGTAGGTTTACATTAAAAGTATTATATGTTTTTATAATATGAATTGAAATTAATCAAACACAGTCTCTCAAATATTTTATCTTATAAGCAATATTTCTGTGCTTTCGACTAAAGTATAAAATCTTACATTAGTATAAGTATACTTTAGTAGAAAGCACAAAAAAGCACAAAAATATTGCTTATAAGATAAAATAATTGAGAGACTGCATTTGATTAGTTTCAAGTCATATATGGTTTTTACTAAAATATTGTAATTGGTGAGCAAAATAGACCTTTTATATTATTTATAAGATAAAATGTTTTAAGTTTTTTATAACAAATTAATTTTAGGTAATTATATTTGGTTTACTTATTAAATTGAAAACTCTACAGGCTATATTAAAAAGCTGTAAATTTGCATTTCCAAAAATATTGTATGTCATGAAAATATGTTTTAATTAATTAATGGCATCAAGTTTTAAATTTGTATTTTTATATTTGAAAGCCTTATTACAGTATCGCTATTTAATTTGAACCAAAATTTTTTTTTATTTTAATAAGAATCAATACAAAAATCAATATATTAATCAATAATAATATAAGATTTATTTGTTATCAAGAATTAAATAAATATTTAATAATAACAATCACTGTTATTATGTAAGAGTTTTGTACACTGTTTTGATACGTGATTTACGATTTCAAGTACAGTATGTGTAATAAAAAAAAAGATTTATTTGTTATCAAGAATTAAATAAATATTTAATAATAACAATCACTGTTATTATGTAAGAGTTTTGTACACTGTTTTGATACGTGATTTACGATTTCAAGTACAGTATGTGTAATAAAAAAATAGCAGAATATTCCGCAAGAATTGAGTATTTGATTGAGAAATACGCGATCAATAATAAATGCCAGTTATGTATCTTGTGAGAAACTCACTGGGGAATCCAAATTTGTACCATTGAATAAAACATCAAGTTAAATCAAATGTTAAATTTGGTATTAAAACTGTTTGCAATGCTCTTAACGTTATTTTATTACAAATTTTAAGATATAAACTTATAAGACATAGCAAAAGTGATCTATTAATATTTTTATAAAATAGTTATTTTTGAGAGAGAGAGAGAGACTCAGTTTTAGTAGTATAATATTGTGTAATAAAATACTTATGGTGAAATAATATTTGTTTGACATTTAAATTAATTTAAAACTGCTTAACATTTATTTTACCATCAACTTTTATGACTGACCATTTAATTCATTTAATTAGCAATACACGTCACCATCAAAAATATACTACCTGCGCTCATACTCTACAAGTGTAATGTCACTTTTCATTGCTAATATAATTTTAATTTCATATATTTTACTTTTATTTTCTAGCTCATTATTAAAATGAATGTCAAATGAGTGTAATAATTATGTTATTTAATAGTTGTGAAAAGTTTGCTATAATTAAAATTATTTTTATTTTAATTAAAATATCACATAATGAACGTGGTAAATTACTTGGACGTAAATTAATTATGTCAGACATTATAACCGTGCATAAATAGCTAGAAAACGTTACATTTGGCATCAAAGGTAATACATTAAATTATTGTAATAGTTTATCTAGTATATTTATGAATCATACCAATTTTTGTGATTACATTTAATTTCTATCTACTGATGCATTCATGCGATTTACTACAGAAATCAGTTAATTTCCATAACTTGTATGAATAGTCAATATATCGTGGGTGCGATTGGGAAAGGGGGTCACTTTGGGATATACTCCATATAGTTGTATACTAATAAATGGCATTTCTCTAATAAAACACTTTCAGTATAACTTTATTATACTACATGTCCTTATGAAGTATGAAACACCTGTATATAACTTTCATAAGTGTAAGAATATTCGGGAATATTCTGCACACATATACTGAACGCCTCCCGCAATGCACTCTAATTCAAGTCTCAAGTGATTTCTACATTGCATTACATGTAATATTATAACTATTGGCGACCAATAGCTTAGGCACTGATATACGAGACCTTAATTTGTCACAAACATATGGCACGGCCTTCCGGTGTCGACATTGAAATTAATGCAAATCTATGCTTTTCGCCACTTATTTGTCGTTAGTATTATGCATGAAATGATATAAATCCTCATTACGATGAATAATGTGCGGAATATTCTGTTAATATATTGGCTATAAATCAAGTGTGCGAGTAAATAATAATTATTGGTTTTGTATAATTGCCATATAAATCGTGTGCATGTATTAATATTACTGATATAAACGTCTTAAATGTCCTAAAAATTACTAACTGTTTGTCTGAAACACACATTTTGTTTGTGTAAATATTTGAAATCAAAAACACATTTGTGTTTTAAGTATCCATTCATGCGAGAGAGAAAAGACTTTTAAATTTTGTTTTTATTTTTAACATTACTTTTCAACTTTATCTTTAATAGTAAAAGAGATTATTGTTATTATTATATACACTAAATATGTTTTCGCAAAAATATATATATATACTCTAGAAATAGTATTTTACGTAGACAACATTATTAAACAAATATTATTATTTTTACTATTATATTAATGCCTAAACAAATTTTCACTACTCATTACAATCACAATAGTATTATTAATAATCATAATAAATAATTTCCCTATTCATTTGACTTGTGTATTCAGTGCAATGTTTTTTGCTTTATTTCGTAGTATTTCATACGTAGGTGATAAAGTATACATGTAATTTATTTTATTGACTGAGACTCGTGTGTAGTACATATTTTTAAAACATATTTTTCGCACAAAAATATTATTACGATTTGTAGTGAGAAAGTGAATAATAAGATAAAAATATCCAATTTAATGCTCCGGGAGCTCTCAACCGTATGTTGTATTGTTTGTGTCAGGGATAAAATTTAATTAGCAATTTATTTATGAAATATTGTAAATAATGTGATATTTAACTATAAATATGTTGACCCCGGTGCAAACACAATGCTTGATATTAAACAAATTCAAAACAACATATAAATATAGCAAAACAAAATCAAATCTGACAAAAACATGACATTAATTCAAACAAATAGCAAAATATTATTCACCAGAGTCAGTTTAAATTTATTCTTGGTATCATCAGCTAGTGTAATCCTAGATATGGAGTGGGCATTAATTTTATGCCTATATTACTGCCATTAATATATACATTAAAACAAGTTGTCATTACGAGTGATATTATTTGTCACAAAATGCATGATAAATGTGTTTTTGCTACTAATTTGCAATCGATTTTAAAAACAGATATTAAACTGCTTTTTGTAGTTATATTGAGATGTTTAGGATCACAAGACACGCAGAAATCGATGAGATTCTCATAATAAGTGAAATGCTATTCATTTCACCAGTGACATTCAAACGATTGCTTATTTATATCCCATTATTAATGGTTGAGTAGAATATTCTTATCGGATATTTGACCCAAATTTTATGTGTCTTATTGTCGGCATTCTGTGAACACTAAGAATATTATGATATTATGCAGAGAGAGAGAGAGAGAGAGAGAGAGGGAGGGAGAGAGAGAGAGCTATTTTCTCAAATAATGTGCTAATATATACGGTACTTAAAAATTGTAATTTCTCTATCAAAACACGGGAAACATTTCAACTCCTAATATAATATGAATTGAATTTGCATTAAATGCTAAACACTTTACACGCGATAAAAGCATATTAAACAAAAGCCCATTACAAAACAAATAAATTTGACTTCATTTAAATAATTAATGTGTTTTAATTTAAAAATCACTTTGAATTTTTGTTATTTCTATTATAAAATATCACATATTATAAATAATGTATAGCATTAAGTATATAAATGTGTTTTTCCAACTGCATATTATTTATGGGTTATAAGTTTTAGTGAAAATTTTTCATGTAATAAATACAGAATACTCTATGGCTATCGTATAAATAAACATTGGCTATGAATTTATGACATCATTTCATATAACAGAATATATTCACAACTATACATGCACAATTTTGTATCATTTATCTCAATAACCAAAATGTTGGGCAAAAAATCTTTTTGGTAAACATTTACTGAAAAGTTTTACTTTTTATGTCACATCGAAAGTGATCCAATTTTTGTGTGTGTAAATATTGTAGTATCTCTCTCAGCGTTAATGTGCTGGATAATTGCTATCACTTAGTGTTTTTATTGCGTTGAAAGCAAAAAGTTGCTAAATCAAATATTTTGTCAATATTTCGCAAGAATTTACTTAATGTAAAAGTTTTTAATCAA